AGCCAGCGGTCTTGAAGACAGCCAGGGGTCTTGAAGACAGGCAGGGGTCTTGAAGATAGCCAGGGGTCTTGAAGATAGCCAGGGGTCTTGAAGACAACCAAGACACTGAAGACAGCCAGGGGTGTTGAAGACAATCAGGGGTCTTGAAGACAGCCAGGGGTCTTGAAGATAGCCAGGGGTCTTGAAGATAGCCAGGGGTCTTGAAGACAACCAAGACACTGAAGACAGCCAGGGGTCTTGAAGACAACTAAGGCACTAAAGACAGCCAGGGGTTTTGAAGACAACCAGGGGTCTTAATGACAGCCAGTAGATTATTGGTAATTCCCCTTATGTATGCTGGGAGGCAGTTGAACAGTTTTGGACCCCTGACACTGTATTGTCTCTTATCGTACTATGGCGCCCCTGCTTTTCATTGGGGGAATGTTGCATGTCCTTCCAAGTCTTCTGCTTTCTTAGGGAGTGATTTTCGTGTGCAAATTTGGTACTAATACCTCTAGGACTTTCCACATGTATATTATTTATCATTCTCGCCTGCCTTCCAAGAAGTACAAGTTCTCTGTACATTCTCCAGGTCGGCGATTTCGCCTGCCTTGACGGGCGTCGTTAGAAGAGAACAAGCGATTTGAAGAAAATCATCATGGGCTTGGCGTCCCTAGTTTAAAAGGTTTTCATTATCCATCCTATCATTTTCCTACCAGATGTGTTGGATACATTGTTGTGATCTTTGGAAGTGAGATTTTCTGACATTATCACTCCCAGGTCCTTCACATTAGTTTTTCTCTCTATTATGTGATTGGAATTTGTTTTATACTCCGATACGGAGTTTTCCATAGCAGAGTAATTGAAATTTGTCTGCAATGAATTTCATATATGTATTTTGAGGTATATTTAAAGACTTGGTTAATGTCCGCTTGGAGACTTACGGTGTCCTCGATGGATGACACTGTCATGCAAATTCTGGTATCATCAGAAAGGAGGACACGGTGCTGTGACTTACATCTCTGTCTATGTCAGATATGAGGATGAGGAACCGGATGAGAGCGAGTATTGTGCCTTGTGGAACACTGGGAGCCAGTACTGTACCTTGTGGAACACTGGGAGCCAGTACTGTACCTTGTGGAACACTGGGAGCCAGTACTGTACCTTATGGAACACTGGAAGCTAGTACTGTACCTTGTGGAACATTGGGAGACTACCGTACCTTATGGAACACTGGGAGCCAGTACTGTGCCTTGTGGAACATTGGGAGACTACCGTACCTTATGGAACACTGGGAGCCAGTACTGTGCCTTGTGGAACACTGGGAGCCAGTACCGTACCTTGTGGAACACTGGGAGCCAGTAATGTGCCTTGTGGAACACTGGGAGCCAGTACCGTACCTTGTGGAACACTGGGAGCTAGTACTGTACCTTGTGGAACACTGGGAGCCAGTACCGTACCTTATGGAACACTGGGAGCCAGTACTGTACCTTGTGGAACACTGGGAGCCAGTACTGTACCTTGTGGAACACTGGGAGCCAGTACCGTACCTTGTGGAACACTGGGAGCCAGTACTGTACCTTGTGGAACACTGGGAGCCAGTACCGTACCTTGTGGAGCACTGGGAGCCAGTACTGTACCTTGTGGAACACTGGGAGACAGTACCGTACCTTATGGAACACTGCGAGCCAGTACTGTGCCTTGTGGAACACTGGGAGCCAGTACCGTACCTTGTGGAACACTGGGAGCCAGTACTGTACCTTGTGGAACACTGGGAGACAGTACCGTACCTTATGGAACACTGGGAGCCAGTACTGTGCCTTGTGGAACACTGGGAGCCAGTACCGTACCTTGTGGAACACTGGGAGCTAGTACTGTACCTTGAGGAACACTGGGAGCCAGTACCGTTCCTTGTGGAACACTGGGAGCCAGTACTGTGCCTTGTGGAACATTGGAAGCCCGTACTGTACCTTATGGAAGACTGGGAACCAGTACTGTACCTTGTGGACCACTAGGAGCCAGTACTGTACCTTGTGGAATACTGGGAGCCAGTGCTGTACCTTGTGGAACACTGGGAGCCACTACTGTACCTTGTGGAACACTGGGAGTCAGTACTGTACCTTGTGGAACACTGGGAACCAGTACTGTACCTTGGGGAACACTGGGAGCCAGTGCTGTACCTTGTGGAACACTGGGAGCCACTACTGTACCTTCTGGAACACTGGGAGTCAGTACCGTACCTTGTGGAGCACTGGGAACCAGAACTGTACCTTGGGGAACACTGGAAGCCCGTACTGTACCTTGTGGAACGTTAGGAGCCAGCACTGTAGCTTGTGGAACACTGGGAGCCAGTACTGTACCTTGTGGAACACTGGAAGCCAGTACTGTACCTTGTGGAACGTTAGGAGCCAGCACCGTACCTTGTGGAACACTGGGAGCCAGTACTGTACCTTGTGGAACACTGAAAGCCAGTACTGTACCTTGTGGAGCACTGGGGGCCAGTACTGTACCTTGGGGAACACTGGAAGCCAGTACTGTACCTTGGGGAACACTGGGAGCCAGTACTGTGCCTTGTGTAACACTGGGAGCCAGTACTATACCTTGTGGAACAATGGGAGCCAGTATTGTACCTTGTGGAACACTGGAAGCCAGTACTGTACCTTATGAAACACTGGGAGCCAGTACTGTACCTTGTGGAACACTGGGAGCCAGTACTGTACCTTGAGGAACACTGGAAGCCCGTACTGTACCTCGTGGAACACTGGGAGCCAGTACTGTACCTTGTGGAGCACTGGGAGCCAGCACTGTACCTTGTGGAACACTGGGAACCAGTACTGTACCTTGTGGAACACTGGGAGCCAGTACTGTACCTTTTGGAACACTGGGAGCCAGTACTGTACCTTGTGGAACACTGGGAGCCAGTACTGTACCTTGTGGAACACTGGGAGCCAGTACTGTACCTTGTGGAACACTGGGAGCCAGTACTGTACCTTGTGGAACACTGGGAGCCAGTACTGTACCTTGTGGAACACTGGGAGCCAGTCCAGTACTTTGTGGAACACTGGGAGCCAGTACTGTACCTTGTGGAACACTAGCAGCCAGTACTGTACCTTGTGGAACAAAGCTTTTCACTGTAGCCGCCTCTGACTTTACTCTGTTTACTATTACTCCTTGTGTTCTGTTTGTTAGGAAGTTATAGATCCATCTAGCAACTTTTCCTGTTATTCCTTTATCACGCATTTTGTGTGCTATTACAACATGATCGCACATGTCAAAGGCTTTCGCAAATTCTGTGTATACTAACTACATCTGCATTTTGTTTGTCCTCCAGAGCATCCAATACCATGTCATAGTGATCCAGTAGTTGTGAGAGGCAGGAGTCACCATCCAAGACCATGTCGTAGTGATCCAGTAGTTGTGAGAGGCAGGAGTCACCATCCAAGACCATGTCATAGTGATCCACTAGTTGCGAGAGGCAGGAGCGACCATCCAAGACCATGTCATAGTGATCCAGTAGTTGTGAGAGGCAGTAGTGACCCTCCAAGACCATGTCATAGTGATCCAGTAGTTGTGAGAGGCAGGAGTGACCATCCAAGACCATGTCATAGTGATCCAGTAGTTGTGAGAGGCAGGAGCGACCACCAAGACCAGTCATAGTGATCCAGTAGTTGTGAGAGGCAGGAGCGACCATCCAAGACCATGTCATAGTGATCAGTAGTTGTGAGAGGCAGGAGTGACCTCCAAGACCATGTCATAGTGATCCAGTAGTTGTGAGAGGCAGGAGCGACCATCCAAGACCATGTCATAGTGATCCACTAGTTGCGAGAGGCAGGAGTGACCATCCAAGACCATGTCATAGCGATCCAGTAGTTGTGAGAGGCAGTAGTGACCCTCCAAGACCATGTCATAGTGATCCAGTAGTTGTGAGAGGCAGGAGTGACCATCCAAGACCATGTCATAGTGATCCAGTAGTTGTGAGAGGCAGGAGTGACCATCCAAGACCATGTCATAGTGATCCAGTAGTTGTGAGAGGCAGGAGTCACCATCCAAGACCATGTCATAGTGATCCACTAGTTGCGAGAGGCAGGAGTGACCATCCAAGACCATGTCATAGTGATCCAGTAGTTGTGAGAGGCAGGAGTCACCATCCAAGACCATGTCATAGTGATCCAGTAGTTGGGAAAAGCTGTTCCTGGAATTGTTGGGAAGGTTTTGGTTTTCGATCTTTACTGCCAAAACTTCAACTACATTATTTGTGGTGTTTAGCAATTCCGAGCAAATGAGGGACTTTATTACGCACAGGTCAACCCCCCCTTGTTGCCTGTTCTTTCTGTCGCAGCTGAAGAGATTATAACATGGGATCTATATTTCGTTGTCAAAATGATCCTTTATGTGGGTCTCTGTGAAAGCTGCAAACATTGCATTTGACTCTATGAGCTGTTGTTTGCTTATGGCTCTAGACCCTTGTATATTTGCAATACCAATGTTGTCATACTGATGTTATGTAGGGGAGGCTTTGTTTGCTGACACTAATATCTGTTGTTCTGGAGTCGAGGTCACTGACTGTGCCTCCACTCCAGTAGTGATCCCAGGTGATGTTGTATTTCTGTCATTTCCTGACCAGAGGTCAACAGCTTACCTCCAGGGTCCCTTACTTGCCGTCATCCATACAGAAGAAGTCATAAGAGGTCAGGACAGGTCATCAGAGGTTACTAGAGGTCAGAACAGGTCAGTAAACATCACTAGAGGTGACTACGGATTACAAGAGATCAGTACAGGTCATTAGACATCAATAGAAGTGACTAAAGGTTACAAGAGGTCACTAAACATCACTAGAGATTACTAGACATCACTAGAGGTGACAAGAGATTACTAGAGGTCAGTACAGGTCAGTAGACATGACTAGAGATTACCAGAGGTCACTACAGGTCATTAGACATCACTAGAGGTAATTAGAGGTTACCAGAGGTCACTAAACATCACTAAAAATTACCAGACATTACCGGAGGTCTGTAACCTACCTCCAAGGTGCCCCACTTGCCGTCCTCCACACGGAAGAGGTCGTAAGAGAAGCCTAGCTCGTCGGAGAATTTCTGCAGCATATCTATACAGAAGCCAGAACAGCACTGGTAGTAGGTGCTGTTCTGCTGTGCTAGTGTCTGGTTCACCACGCTGTTAATATCAACAATAATAATATTAACAAAAACAGTAATAATATTATTATCGCAAACGGCTGCGATAACTTGCAAAACCCTCAGCTGTTTAGCTCAGTGAGAGAGAGAACTAAGTTAATTAAACACATTTAATCCTCATAGACAAAACATTTAGCATATGAAACGTGATTAACACTCAAAAAGTAACATGTACCTAACTTAAAAGTTAATTTACAACAGGCCTACGCAATGGGCCGCGTAACCTCCCGCTAAATTACGCAAATTAAAGCTTCGACAAACGCCATTATTTCCAATTAAAATCATTTACAAATTTCACCCAACCAATTTGTCTATTACACTCTGCAGATTATGTTAATAACAGTGTTGACGCGGGAGGTGTGCTCCAATAATAATAATAATTATTATTATTATTATTATTATTATTATTATTATTATTATTATAACTGTTACACACACACATACACACACACACACACACCACACACACACACACACACACACACACACACACACACACACACACACACACACACACACACACACATAAATTATATATATATATATATATATATATATATATATATATTTATATATATATATATATATATATAATTAAGAGTAAGACTGAGAATAGGATAGCAGATGAACAAGGAGGCTTTAGGAAAGGTAGGTGGTGTGTGGACCAGGTGTTTACAGTGAAACATATAAGTGAACAGTATTTAGATAAGGCTAAAGAGGTCTTTGTGGCATTTATGGATTTGGAAAAGGCGTATGACAGGGTGGATAGGGGGGCAATGTGGCAGATGTTGCAAGTGTATGGTGTAGGAGGTAGGTTACTGAAAGCAGTGAAGAGTTTTTACGAGGATAGTGAGGCTCAAGTTAGAGTATGTAGGAAAGAGGGAAATTATTTCCCAGTAAAAGTAGGCCTTAGACAAGGATGTGTGATGTCACCGTGGTTGTTTAATATATTTATAGATGGGGTTGTAAGAGAAGTAAATGCGAGGGTCTTGACAAGAGGCGTGGAGTTAAAAGATAAAGAATCACACATAAAGTGGGAGTTGTCACAGTTGCTCTTTGCTGATGACACTGTGCTCTTGGGAGATTCTGAAGAGAAGTTGCAGAGATTGGTGGATGAATTTGGTAGGGTGTGCAAAAGAAGAAAATTAAAGGTGAATACAGGAAAGAGTAAGGTTATGAGGATAACAAAAAGATTAGGTGATGAAAGATTGAATATCAGATTGGAGGAGAGAGTATGGAGGAGGTGAATGTATTCAGATATTTGGGAGTGGACGTGTCAGCGGATGGGTCTATGAAAGATGAGGTGAATCATAGAATTGATGAGGGAAAAGGGTGAGTGGTGCACTTAGGAGTCTGTGGAGACAAAGAACTTTGTCCTTGGAGGCAAAGAGGGGAATGTATGAGAGTATAGTTTTACCAACGCTCTTATATGGGTGTGAAGCATGGGTGATGAATGTTGCAGCGAGGAGAAGGCTGGAGGCAGTGGAGATGTCATGTCTGAGGGCAATGTGTGGTGTGAATATAATGCAGAGAATTCGTAGTTTGGAAGTTAGGAGGAGGTGCGGGATTACCAAAACTGTTGTCCAGAGGGCTGAGGAAGGGTTGTTGAGGTGGTTCGGACATGTAGAGAGAATGGAGCGAAACAGAATAACTTCAAGAGTGTATCAGTCTGTAGTGGAAGGAAGGCGGGTAGGGGTCGGCCTAGGAAAGGTTGGAGAGAGGGGGTAAAGGAGGTTTTGTGTGCGAGGGGCTTGGACTTCCAGCAGGTATGCATGAGCGTGTTTGATAGGAGTGAATGGAGACAAATGGTTTTTAATACTTGACGTGCTGTTGGAGTGTGAGCAAAGTAACATTTATGAAGGGGTTCAGGGAAACCGGCAGGCCGGACTTGAGTCCTGGAGATGGGAAGTACAGTGCCTGCACTCTGAAGGAGGGGTGTTAATGTTGCAGTTTAAAAACTGTAGTGTAAAGCACCCTTCTGGCAAGACAGTGATGGAGTCCAGCTTGCGCTAGACTTTGATCCAAGGCAGCCAGCTTTCAGGGAGAAAAGCTGTAAGCCTTCTCCCTGAAAGCTGGCTGCCTTGGATCAAAGTCTATCGAAAGCTGGACTCCAAGGTATTGGTCCAGTGTGGGTAGATTGGTAAAGCACTGCGTATCTTGTTCCAAGGTTCGTAGGTTCGAGTCTCCTTCAGCCAGATATATATATATATATATATATATATATATATATATATATATATATATATATATATATATATATATATATATATATATATATATATATATAAACACAAAATCATACCAGCACTTAGTAACATACAAACACTTACCACTTTGCCACTTAGGAAACACTTAACTACCCCCACTGAACACTGATGCCCACTTGGGCACTGACTATCACTCCAGTACTTAGGAAGACAATGACTGTCACTTACTTGGCCATCATGGCGTCAGTGGCCACCCTGCAGAGGATACCTCGGTTTGCGTTACACTGGCCTGTGACCGGGTCAGGGGATGCTAGACTGATGTATGGTGGTTCCTCCAGGAAGACAATCTGTGAACACAAGCAGGAACACTAGATGAGAAACACTGATGTATGGTGACTCCTTCAGGAAGACTGTAAACACAAGCAGGAACACTAGATGAGGAACCTGGAGAAACACAAAATGAGGAACAACAGGAAATAGGAGCCGAGAAAAATGAATAAACACAAACTGAGGAACAAGGAGAAACATAAACTAAGCAACACGACAGAAATCGATCAACTGGAAAAACAGTGTTGCAACGATGCAAGGAGCAACAATAACCAGAAGATGGTATTGAAAGACCCGAAAATATACAAGAAAATCAACTGGACAAATACTCTGACAGGATCACCAGAAGACCAAGAGAGAGAGAGAGAGAGAGAGAGAGAGAGAGAGAGAGAGAGAGAGAGAGAGAGCGAAGAGAGAGAGAGAGAGAGAGAGAGAGAGAGAGAGAGAGAGAGGGAGAGAGACAGACAGAGAGTGAGAAAGAGAGGGAGAGAGTGAGAGAGAGAGAGAGAGAGAGAGAGAGAAGAGAGAAAAGAGAGAGAAGAGAGAGAGAGAGAGAGAGAGAGAGAGACAGACAGAGAGTGAGAACAGAGAGAGGAGAAAAGTGAGAGAGTGAGAGAGAGAGAGAGAGAGAGAGAGAGAGAGAGAGAGAGAGAGAGAGAGAAGAGAGAGAAGAGAGAGAGAGAGAGAGAGAGAGAGAGGCTTGGACAACTCTCTGGAACTACGATGCTGACAGTATTGTGACTGGTTGTATATACACAGATATACACCTCTCAGTGTATATACACTTAGATATACATCTCCCACTGTATACACAATGATATACACCTCTCAGTGTATATACACTGAGATATACATCTCTCAATACATATACACACTGAGAATATCTGTCAGTGTATATACACGTCAGTGTATATACATTAGGAGACATACACAACTCAGTGTACATATGTATATATCCAGGGATACACATCACAGTGTATATATCGCATATAGAGTTTTGTACTAAGTTGAGATTTGTATTAATGTGTCTCTAAACCAAATTATTATTATTATTATTATTATTATTATTATTATTATTATTATTATTATTATTATTATTTTAATTATTATTATATTCAGGGCACTTGTCAGAGTGTGAGAGTGTGTCAAAGTTGACGTAAGTCAGTCAGTAAGAGTGTAAACACGTCAGGGAGAGTGTTATACTTACCAAGGGCAGGTAAGACCATACCTCCCACCTGTAATAAAACTGAATAATATGTACGTGACCTCTTATGTGTTGCATTGTCCTTTAGCAGGTGCTGGTGGCACCACGGCACCTGTGTAGTTACAAACAGAGGTGCCAGAGGTCTTGCAGTGCTGCACCTAATGCGTGTGTGGATGGTGTGGCACACCAGTTGTCAGGCCAGAAGTGTTTGGTGTGGGACACCAGTTGTCAGGCCAGAAGTGTTTGGTGTGGGACAACCAGTTTTTCAGGCAGAAGTGTTTGGTGTGGGACACCAGTTGTCAGGGGCCCGAGTGTTTGGGGTGGGACACCCGTTGTAGGCCAGAAGTGGGTTTTGGGGTGGGACACCAGTTGTCAGGCCAGAAGTGTTTGGTGTGGGACACCAGTTGTCAGGCCAGAAGTGTTTGGTGTGGGACACCAGTTGTCAGGCCAGAAGTGTTTGGTGTGGGACACCAGTTGTCAGGCCAGAAGTGTTTTGTGTGGGACACCAGTTGTCAGGCCAGAAGTGTTACCCTGGAGGTCCAGTGGATTAAGAGTCTTTGCAGATGGAGCTCTCCGAAGTAGGGCAGTAGATAGAATTATACTTAAAACAATGATTCCTGCTATCATACAGCAGGGTAGAGCTACCTACCCTTATACTACTGTAACTACTACTACTACTACTACTACTACCACAACTAATACTACTACTACCACCACAACTAATACTACTACTACCACCACAACTACTACTACTACTACCACAACTACTACTACTACTACTTACACAACTACTTACTACTACACTACCACCACAACTAATACTATACTACTACCACCACAACTACTACTACTACTACTACTACCACAACTACTACTACTAACTACTAACCACAACACTACTACTACTACATACTACCACAACTATTACTACTACTACTACCACTACTACTGCTACTACTATTACCACCACTACTACTACTACTACTACCACTACTACTACTACTACTACCACTACTACTAGTACTACTACCACTACTACTGCTACTACTACTATTACTACTACTACTACTACTACTACCACTACTACTACTACTACTACTACTACCACTGCTACTACTACTACCACTACTACTACTATTACTACCACTACTACCACTACTACTAGTAACTACTACCACTACTGCTACTACTACTACTACCACTACTACTACTACCACTACTACTGCTACTACTACTACCACACTACTACTACTACTACTACTACTACTACTACCACTACTACTACTACTACCACTACTACTACTACTACCACTACTACTGCTACTACTACTACTACTACCACTACTACTACCACTACTACTACTACTACTACCTCTACTACTACTACCACCACTACTACTACTACCACTACTACTACCACTACTACTACTACTACTACTACTACCACAACTACTACTACTACTACCACAATTACTACTACTACTACTGCTACTACTACTACTACTACTACTACTACCACAACTACTACTACTACTACTATCACAACTACTACCACTACTACTATTACCACAACTACTACTACTACTACTACTGCTACTACTACTACTACTACCACTACTACTACTACTACTACCACAACTACTACTACTACTACCACAACTACTACTACTACTACTATCACAACTACTACCACCACTACTACTACTACCACAACTACTACTACTACCACTACTACTACTACTACTGCTACTACTACTACCACTGCTACTACCACAACTACTACTACTACTACTACTACTACTACCTATTTTCACCTCACGTGATACCTACATACACACCCTGTGTGCCCAGACAATGTTTATAAAGGCTTAACAAAGCTCCTGGAGAGCGAAACGTTGCCACAATGAAATGTCACATTAGTTGCACTTGTTTCACCTAAGGCTTGTGGTCAGTGACACCTTGTTGTTCTCTGTCTTGCACCAGTAACACTGTCAGTAACCCTAAGTGTTCTGGCACAATCCTGCAAAACTTTTACCTCTCTTTCTAGAGCACATTCTGCTAGAGAGTGACAGCTCATGGACCGCAGAACTAAAACAAGAATATACAAGATCTTTGTTCTGAGCACCAATATTCCAAATACTCAGTAAACTGGTGTAATCTACAAACGCCATTAAACGAAAAATAAGGTCATACCTAGAACCCAACCTTGTGGAACGCCTCCTGTCTGAACAAGGGCTGCTGAGAAGCTGTTATTGATCCAGAGGCTGGAGTGACCATCTCTCACCAAGGCTGTCAGAAAAAGGTGGAAGCTGGCCCGGGAGGTCCAAAGACTGGGCCCGAGATTAGACGTGAAATAGCCAAGCCGTGTCATAAGCCTTTTCAGAGTGGAGAAAAGACGGCCACCACAAACACAGCTTCGCCGAAGTACTTACGAACAAGTGCTTCTTGTGAACAAGATATTGCACGTTAGACAATAATAATAAATTAATAATAATAATAATAATAATAATAATAATAATAATAATAATAATAATAATAATAATAATAATAATAATAATAATAATAATAATAATAATAATACTACTACTACTACTACTACTACTACTACTACTAATAATAATAATGATGATCGGCGATCTGTCAGTGTGAGGTATGTACCTTGACCCAGTACGCAGGGTCCTTACCTTGACCAGTACGTAGCATACGTACCTTGACCCAGTACGCAGGGTCCTTACCTTGACCAGTACGTAGCATACGCACCTTGACCCAGTACGCAGGGTCCTTACCTTGACCAGTACGTAGCATACGTACCTTGACCCAGTACGTAGGGTCCTTACCTTGACCAGTACGTAGCATACGTACCTTGACTCAGTACACAGGGTCCTTACCTTGACCAGTACGTAGCATACGTACCTTGACCCAGTACACAGGGTCCTTACCTTGACCAGTACGTAGCATACGTACCTTGACCCAGTACACAGGGTCCTTACCTTGACCAGTACGTAGCATACGTACCTTGACCAGTACGTAGCATACGTGCCTTGACCCAGTACGCAGGGTCCTTACCTTGACCAGTACGTAGCATATGTACCTTGACCAGTACGTAGGGTCCTTACCTTGACCAGTACGTAGCATACTTACCTTGACCCAGTACGCAGGGTCCTTACCTTGACCAGTACGTAGCATATCTACCTTGACCCAAAACGCAGGGTTTTTACCTTGACCAGTACGTAGCATACGTACCTTGACCCAGTACGCAGGGTCCTTACCTTGACCAGTACGTAGCATACGTACCTTGACCAGTACGTAGGGTCCTTACCTTGACCAGTACATAGCATACGTACCTTGACCAGTACGTAGCATACGTACCTTGACCCAGTACGCAGGGTCCTTACCTTGACCAGTACGTAGCATACGTACCTTGACCAGTACGTAGCATACGTGCCTTGACCCAGTACGCAGGGTCCTTACCTTGACCAGTACGTAGCATACGTACCTTGACCAGTACGTAGCATACGTGCCTTGACCCAGTACGCAGGGTCCTTACCTTGACCAGTACGTAGGGTCCTTACCTTGACCAGTACGTAGCAT